GAAAGTCAGAAGCCAGAAAACATGATTAATTAATACACTAGGCTTGGATCAAGGTGTCGGTGGCTCCTTGCTCTCTTGGGAGGCTCTGGTGGGAGGGATCCGTTCCTTGCCTTTTCCAGCATCGGGTGGCTGCTGGCATTTCTTGGCTTGTGGCCACATTGCCCCAGCCTCTGCCTCCGTCTTCACCTGGTCTTTTCCTCTCTTGCATGTGTTTGTCTGCTGTTCCTCTCTCTCTCACAAGGACACTGTGATGGCATTTAGGGCCCACCTAGATAATCCTGGATTATCTCTTCAACTCCTGAGCTTAATCACACCTGCAAAGATCCTTTTTCCAAATAAGATAACATTTACAGTTTCCGGAGATTAAGAGTTGATATCTTTTGATGGCCATTCTTTAGCCTAAGACAGTGTCTAAATTCCCCAGGATTTCGCGCTTGGACGTGACAGATCAGTCCTGAAAAAACCCGCCCGGGATCCAATTGTCCATCCTCCGCAGCCGGAGAGTTAGAATCTTCAGGGCCAGGCCCAGCCCCAAGCACCCAGCCCCACAGCCGGTGGTGGCCGGGGGGGTGGGGGGACACAGGGGTCAGTCCCTTTCACTGCCTGCCCTGCCCAGGCTGAGCACGGAGCGCCAGGCATAGCCAGGAGGTGCTGTTGATGCCAAATGATTGTACCACTCTTTTTAATGGACCCCTTCCTCATTTACTAAGGGGATGCCTGCTGTAATACTTTGCTTTAACTTGCGACTTTTGGTTGTAAGGGACAGTCACCAGGCTGGCCCACAATACCCAGCAATGACCTAATACTGCTGTGCACGATGGGCCAGTGCCTGGGTTCGAACTCCCATTCTGCCATCTCCCAGCTGTGAACCTTGAACAAGTTACTGAACAGCTTGGAGTCTACTTCCATGAAGAGGGGGTGCCAATTGTACCTAAGGGCTAGGTTACTGCCTGGGTTCCAGGAGAAAGAGAATGAGGATCCGGGCGCTTGGCAGCGAGCCGAGCACAGAGCATGAGTGGGACGTGACGCTACCACCGCCGCGTGGGATCCGCGGCCGCCTCTCCTCGCTGGGACCGTGTCCTATGAAAACTCGGGCGGCAACCGTCCCAGCCGGCCAGTGACCTTGACCGACCCCAGAGCATCCTTTCTGCATCTGCCTTTGGCCCCATCTGCAGGCTTCTCTGGCTTCGACCCCACCTCCCAGGGGAGAATCCGGTTTGCACCCCCGCCAGTTTAAGCCCCAGGCCCTGGTGCGAGCAGCTCCGAGCAAGGCTGCCGGGGGCGGGGTTGAGGCAGGGCTGGGGGCGGGGCTAGAGGTGGGCTGGGGGTGGTTGGAGGTGCAAGGGAGGCGGGGTTGGGAGCGCGGGTGATTGGTTGGGGTCACAATGGAGGCGTGGCTACGGGCGGGGTTGGGGTTGGAAGGTCCCGGGTGCGGGGCTTGGTCTTGCTCCTGGGCAGGACCTGATGGAAATGCGGGCAGTCGAGGGCTGGGGCGTCTCTTCCACTCCTGTGACTTTATATCCACTACCGTCCACACCGCCGGTTCTTACCCGTCCTCCAGTCCTCTGGACCCTCATCATAGTCACCCTCATGACCCATATGACCTTGGCTTTTGGAGGACCCGTTCATTGCCTGCACCCGGAAACACGTGGCTTTCAAATCATTCCCTAAGCCTGGAGCTCCACTAGTGTTTCTGGCCCCTTTTCTCCTTTGGAAACAACTAGAACAATAGCAAAAGTGGTAATAATCATAATAGCAGCTAACGATTTCGGAGATGCTGCATTGCCAGGCACTGCTAAGTGCTGTTATACAGATGATCTCATTTCATATCACACCCATGCGCACGTGCGTACACACACACACACACACACTATATGGTAGGTGCTTTAAAAGCTCTGTATTACCCATGATGAAGCTGAGGGACTGAGAAGTCAAGTAACTGAATGATAGCTTCCCTCTCTTGCTCAATAAATCTCTAATAAAAAAGAATGAATGGCTACACCATGCTTCCCAGAGTATTACTTTAAAAATAAAACTGCCAATTATCTTTTTTTTCTGATTACAGAGCCAACTCTGTTCACTATGTTAGAAAATTAGCAATTAGAACATCACTAAATTAGAAAAATAAACAAAATCGTAGTAACAGAAAACAAAAATCACCCATAGAATTTCAGTTACAAATTATTTCCAGTCTGTCTGCCTGCCTGTCTCCATCTGTACGCTTTCCAGGGGATTATATTTAAGCCATGACTTTTCTAGATATGTCCCCTGATGCAAGGGAAGTAAAAGCAAAAATAAACTATTGGGACTTCATCAAAATAAAATGCCTCTACACAGCGAAGGAAACCATCAACAAAACTCAAAAGCAACCTACTGAATGGAAGAAGATATTTGCCAATGACACATCCCATAAAGGGTTAGTATCCAAAATATATAAAGAACGTATAAAACTCAATACCCCAAAAAACAAATAATCCGATTAAAAAGTGGGCAGACGACATGAACAGAGGTTTCACCAAAGAAGACATCCAGATGGCCAGCAGATACAAGAAAAGATGGTCAATGTCACTGATCATCAGGGAAATGCAAATCAGAACTACCTGGACATATCGCCTCACACCTGTCAGAGCAGCTAGAGTAAAAAACACAAACAACAAGTGTGGGCGAGGATGTGGAGAAAAGGAGCCCTCTTGCACTGCTGGTGGGGATGCAAACTGCTCACAGTCGCTGTGGAAAGTAGAATGGAGTTTCCTCCAAAAATTAAAAATAGAATCATCATATGATCCACTGATTGCGCTACTGGGCACCTACCCCCCAAATACAAAAACACTAATTCAAGGAGCGCCTGGGTGGTTCATTTGGTTGAGCGTGTGACTTTGGCTCAGGTCATGATCTTACTGCTTGTGGGTTTGGGCCCCGCGTCTGGCTCTGTGCTGACGGTGCTGAACCTACTTAGGATTCTCCATCTCCCTCTCTCTCTGCCCCTTCTCTGCTCACACATTCTCTCTCTCAAAAATAAATAAATGAAAAAAAAACTTAAAAAAACCCAAAAAACACAAAGTCAAAGAGATACATGCACCGTATGTCTATAGCAGCATTACATACAGTCCAAGTGTCCATTGACCGATGACTGGATAATGCAGAGTGGTATAGACATACACAATGGAATATTATTCAGCCACAAAAAAGGTGAAATCTTGCCATTTGCAACAACACAACAGAGCTAGAGGGTATAATGCTGAGTGAACTAAGTCAGTCAGAGAAAGACAAATATCATATGATTTCACTCATGTGTGGAACTTAAGAAACAAAACAAATAAGCAAAGGAAAAAAGAGAGAGAGAGAAACCAAGAAACAGACTCTTAACTGTAGAGAACATACCAATGATTACTAAACGGGGTGGGGGGTGCATGGATGGGAACTAGGAGATGGACATTACCATGATGGAAAAAAATGAAATGAAAAAAAAATTTAAGCCATGATTTTTAATGGCTTTCAGGCCTCTGGGCCTCTCTCTGTTTGGACATTTAGGGTATAACCACGTTTTCTTTTCTGCTATTACAATATTTGAAAAAGATTTTAAAACATGTATGTTTGCTAACATTTCTCTTTTTTAAATTATTTTTAATGTTTTTTAAACATTTTATTTTTTTAAGATACAGAGAGGTACAGAGCATGAGCCGGGGAGGGTCAGAGAGAGAGGGAGACACAGAATCTGAAACAGGCTCCAGGCTCTGAGCCATCAGCACAGAGCCCGATGCGGGGTTCGAACCCACGAACTGTGAGATCATGACCTGAGCTGAAGTCGGACGCTTAACTGATTGAGTCACCTGCGAGCCCCTGTTTGCTCTCATTTCCAATTGTTTCTTTCGGACAAGGGGTGTGCATCTCGAATCTTTGGATCCACATTGCCAAGTGCGCTGGAATAGGTGTGGCAATTATCACCAAGTTTTAGAGCTTTGCTTACTCACCTTTTGACCGGCTCTGGGGAGTCTCATTCGTGTTTTCAAATCCTGGCTGGTGTTTTCATCTGTGTTTTTAAACCGCTAATGAGCGGTTTAAAATAAAATAAGCGGTGAACTTATTTTATTTTTCTTTATACAAGTTGTTGGCCATTTGGGTTTCCTGTCTCGTTCTTTCCAGCAAAGATTTTGAACATCTTCTCCCCACTTTCTGGACAATTCTTTCAAGGCTTTCGGAAATCATTCCTGAGTTTGCCGAGGGTCTCTGCACCTTCATGTTGAGGAAGTCTGAGGAGGTGACGGTGATTTTTGGTCACTTACTAGAAAACGTTCAGAAACAGAACTCCCAACATATCCCCAAGGCATACTCTCCTGATATTAAACGTTCGTGGAGATGCCAGCATCACCACTGTCCTCAGAGAATGACCAGCAGTGATTTATAAGGCACAATTGTGATGCTAATGGCCGGTGGTCACGGGAACAGGAGTGTGATGCTCCTGTGTGTATCCGTAGCCCCCTCTGTACCAGGCTCCGTGCTAGGTGGTTAGATGCCCAATGGCCTCACTGCAGGGCACCAGGCACATGGCCCATGGCACGCACGGGCAGACAGACCCAGGGAGCAGCGGTGAAGGCAGGGTACAAATGCAGACCCATCCAGTCCGTGCCTGTGTCTGCTTTCGAAGCAGAGCCTGAGGTCTCCCACCCTCAGCGGCCCCTGGAGTGCGTTAGGCCCCCACCGGGGGAGCTCCTGGGTGCTCTCATTCTGCCCTGGGCCCGGAGCCCCGGGTCCCAGCTGCATTTTCGGGGCTTGTCCTGGGCCCGTCCTGGGTCTGGGTCGAATCCAGGGAGTGGGTCTTTATAAGGCAGAAAACAATAGTCCAGACTTTCCAGCAAACCAAAGGGGCTCACCTCAGAGCCTTCCAGAACCTTCCAGGGCCCCCTCTCCGCCAGCCTTTGCTGGAAGTCAGGTGTGCTGGACCTCCCCCGCTCCAGACAGACTTCGGCCTTTCAGAGGTGGGGGCTGAAAGGAGGGAGGGTGCGGGGCCTGAGGATGCCCCACCTGGGTCCCTTCCCGAATCCGAGCGCTCTCTCTGTTTGCAGGGACAGGGTTCCAAAGAGATTTCCAGCGTCTGCACGTGAGACTCCGCCCCCTGGAACAAAGGCCGTGGGGGCGGGGGGCGGTGGATACTGAGCAACTCAGGACGGGGACCTCCCAAGGCCCTAGGTGAGTGACGGGGTCCCAAAACCTGAAATCCCAAAGTCTGGGTTCACCCAGATCCGAAAACGTGGTGGTTTCGGATCAGATCCTGGGCCTCTCTGGAGTCCCCGAAGGCTTCCTCCCCGCTCCGGAGAGCCCAGCCTGCGGGCTCCAGGGCTTCTAACCAGGAGGGGCCCGGAGACACCCTCACAGGGGAGGCCTGGGGCCTGGCCCGAAGCTGCGTTTGTCTGTAACATAAGCTCCATGTTTCTGTTTTTATTTGTAGGATAAGCTCAGTAGGTTATGTTATTTGGGGCCCCTGAAGCAGATAGGGGTGGATAACATCCCCCAGCCACCCCTCCCTATCGCCAGTTCGTGGGGTCCTGGGTATGAGTGCACCCAGAAAAAATGCCTTCTATGCCAAGAAATGAACACCGAAGCCCACGGAGCCGAACTACTTCCAGCGTTTGCACCCCCACCAGCAGCCACCTAGAGCCTCCCGGGAGCTCCAACTCCAGAATGCTTGTTTTTCTCTTTATCCCCACTTTCCAGATGCAAACAGTGAGGCTCAGAGAGGCCGCCTTGCTCAGTCCCACACCTTGTTGGAATCTGGTTCCAAAGCCACGTCTCCGGGGCCATTTCCACCAAACCTCTGGGCTTCTCGATGCATTAGCGATAAAGTCCTAGATAATATCTCTTTATAACTTAAAAAAATGTTTAATGTTTATTTATTTTTGAGACAGAAGGAAACAGAGCCAGAGTGGGAGAGGGGCAGAGAGAGAGGGAGACAGAGAATCTGAAACAGGTTCCAAGCTCTGAGCTGTCAGCACAGAGCCTGACGCGGGGCTCGAACCCACCAACAGTGAGATCATGACCTGAGCCGAAGTCGGACGCTTAACCAACTGAGCCCCCCAGGCGCCCGGATTGTTTTTTAAACCCTGGAGACACTGACTTTCCTGCTCTTACCCGCAGATGTTTGCTGAGTGAATTGAGGGGATCACTGAAGGCGGATCGTGGCTACTGCCCGCAGCCCCCTCCCCTCCTAGTAAGAGTGGACCAGGAGAAATGTCCGGTGGGGTTCGCGGAGCCGTTTTATCCCACTGTGGTCGCGTGTGGACAATGACAACAGATTCTTGTGACCAGGAATAACGCCCGCCCCCACCCCCACCCCAATTCTGTCTTCGAAGCCCTGGGCTCGGCAGGAAAACGCTGCCCCCGCCTGGCTTAGATGGATGGAGACCTGGCTTCAGACCAAAACGAACGTCACTAAGTCTAAATGATAGGTTCAAAGAAGGCCAGAGAATAAATCAGGGCAGCCAGGGCTGGGGAGACAATGCCGTCGGGTGGAAGTGAAGATTTCGCGAGACCCTCTTCCCTTAATGAGAGTCCCCCAGTCCCTATGGGGCCACAGTGGCATGAGCACCTGGTGCCCAACCCTGGGCATCTGCTGGGCACAGACAGTCCTCCACGGAAGAGACTGTAGGGCATTTGGGGTCCAAAGGGGCACGAAGTCTGACAAGCCACACGATCTCCAGAACGACCCGCGTCCCTAAAGGTGGGACGGAGTCAGGAAGCCCCCCGCCCCGGGGATGGGGTCCTGGGGCCAGAGGATGAAACTGAGCCCGCCTCTGGGTTCCGGGCCCCTTTGCCCCGTTTCAGAACCTCCCCCACCTGTGCCCTTCTCCACGCGCCCCCCCCCCCCCACTCCTCAAAGTCCAGACTCCCCTGCTCACCCCCTGGGCATCTTTTGAAAGGAGGAGTGTGGGGCGTCAGGCACAGAAAACACGACTCACGACGCTACTTTTCTTCCCAAGGCCTGAGCAAAAGCCAGAAAGCATTTGCAAGGGAAGTTCCTCTGGGTGCCACCCCCCGAGGGACCAGATGAAGCCTGGTGAGTGTGCTGAACACCCCAGCGGTGAGAACACAGAGGTGGGGGCGGGGCACGGCCACACCAGGTGTCTTTGCTCTTCTGGTTCTTTTTTCCTCCCACTGTAACTTTTTTTTTTAATTGAAGAACGGTTGACATGCTCTTCCGGCCCTAATTGAGTTCAAGTTCTAGTTGGGGCTCCAGAAACGGGCATCCTGGCCTGGGTGCGCGCAGCCTTCCTCAGGCTCCCCCCCCCCCCCACTCTTCAGCCAGCATCTGCTTCACCAGCCTGTGAGCCCCGCGGTCTGGGGCTCTGCCTGCCTGGTGTCTCCCCATCACCCAGCGCCCGGCGCATCTGCCTTGTAGGAGGGATGTGGGGGGAGCGGCCCCGAGTCAGGAGAAATGGCTTCCCTACCTGGGCCTCCATCACCTTGGGAAGAAGGAGGGAAGCGGACAGGATGTTCGCAGCTACGTGCTGGCCCCACAAAGTCCTTGCCCCCCCCCCCCCCCCGGGTCTTACAGTTCTCCTGGGAAGACAGGGACTAAAGAAATATCAGTAGATAATGGATTTCGGTTGGCAAACTGCTCCTGAAGGCGAACACGCAGGAATCCTACGGACACTGCTTTCCAGGGTGAGGAGGAGAGAGACAGACCTGCGGGAAAGGAAGGGCATTCCCAGAGAGGGAACTGCATAGGCAAAGGCCCCGAGGCAGATTCTGGGGCAGCGTGTATTTGCTTTTCTGGCAAAGGGGACGGATGTGCATGGCCAGGAGGGTGTCTGTCCATCTTCTCCAGCCGCAAGAAAGGGCCAGGGGAACCTGAGTCACCGGCGCTTCCGAGCCGCCTCCCAGGTCCTTCTCATGTGAGAAAACAAGGAGTTTTCTGTTATTTGCAGCCCCAGGCATTTTCTGTCTGAAAGAAGGAGAGAAGGCCAAGGCAGCTTTCCTAACTAGCCAGGCTGCTCGACGACTGGTCAGGCGGCACTCACAACAAAGGGGACTCATGTGCAAATGAAAAGCTCCCCATTCGCACCTCCCTGCCACGGTGGGGGGAGGGGGCAGAGCCCGGGGCCCCTGTCCCAGTGAGGACCCCTGGCTCCCAGCAGAGGTGGTATAATCCTCAGAGAAAACATCACCCCCAGGGAACACCCAGCTCCCTCCCCTGGGGAACCTGCCAAGTGCTAGGAAGGACCGAGCGGAAGGCAAGTCCCAGCAATCCTATCTGACCCGCTCACACAGTCCCCGGTCACGGTCACGGTCACGGTCACGCTGTCACCTTCTGCCCTGCCGCAGTGACCTGCCCTCCGCCCTCAGGGGGTCACCCTGCCCCTGTGTACGGTCAGCAGGTAGAAGGTCTACACAGCTCTCTGCAGCTGGGGTCTCCTATCCAGTTTCCTCACTAATTACACTGCGACATTCCTTCCTGAACAGAGAAACTTCTATAACTTGGGCTATAAAGCATCTCTTTGAATTTTCCCTGAAGTCTGCTGTGATTATAATAATAAAACAGAGCGCACATGAGGACTTTCATCCCCACAGCTCTGCGTTCACAATAAACAAATCATAATTATGTATCTCAACAGCCCCTCCTTTTTTCCCCTTTTCCTCATGGGGAAACTGAGGCAAGAAGGAGGTCAAGTGCCTGCCTCGAGGCTACGGCTTCTGTTAGCAGCCGAGCAACCCACGAGGGCTGCTGTGACTTTCACTGCGCCCATAATTAGGACCCTGCTGGGAAGCCGAGGGGGAGTTCGCAAGGGCATCCCTGACGCCAAACTTCCACCGCCTCACACGCCCAGCTCGTTTGACCGGAGGGAAAGCTGGGATCTGACTCTCGAGCTGGCTGAGGCCCTTTGAGTATCCCGGCCTTGAGTGGCCTTGGGGTACCCGTCTCTTATTGATGAGACTATGTGACAAAATACTGAGCCCTAGAACACGTGACGGCAGATGTGCAGATGCTGTTAACAGAGCACGCGTGTCCCCGGCTAGAGCGTGAACTTGCAAAGGCAAGGGTCAGGTCCGCAGGGTCCGCTCCGCGCCAGGCAGCGTCCAGCAGCGCTCATGCTTATCTCTTACGCGAGAGGAGGGATGCATTTGAGGCTGTGTGATGTGGTGGGGGAACATGTCCCCCTGGCCCGCACAGCCGCACCTCCCTCCTCCCGCTCACCAGTGACTTCTTGTCCGGGGCGCACCAACGGCAGTGTGCATTGCTGCAAGCCCTGCGGTGGCTGCTCTCTTTGCTCTAGGTGAAGCGGACCCCTTTCCCCTGGCCCCCCAGCCATCACGAGCAGCAGGGCAGAGCCTGGAGCCCAGGGTGTGGTCTTTATGACTCTCTCTTCCGGTCTCCCTCACCCTAAGAGAAAAGACAAGACATCTGGGAGACACCTCTGCGATGGGGGCAGTGGTCACAGTTTCCTTGTCACCCTGTCCCCATCTGTAGTCAGTGCTGCAGGATTTCAGAGGGGATGTTTGCCTACAAATTTCTGGAGATAAAACAAGACCTTTACGAGACTTGAGGGTCCTTGATCATTCAGTTCCAAGAGGCCCTCACTCCTGCTGCTTTAGATGATGACCGTAACAATAACAGTAAAGATAATCATAATAACGGCAAGCATTTATTGAGCGCCTCCTGTATACCAGGCCCTGCACTAAATGCTTTCTGTGCCTCTGTGCTTATAAAACAGGTGCATTTTGCAGTGGAAAGTGGAGCTCAGGGAGGGCATGGGACTTGCCCAGGGTCAAGCAGCCATGAAGGGGCAGGCGGGCTGGGGACCTGGGTGCCTCTGACTCCCGGGTCGGAGTTAGCGATGGTGGTCAGTGTAGTTGTTGGGCACTGCCCAGCCTCAGGGCAGGGATTTACTGGCGTGGTTTTATTTTGTTCTCCAAACAGACCATCAGGCCAGGGCCTCTTTGGACCTTCTGTAGCCGCTCAGTGCACTTACCCTCCAGGCCCCGCCCCCCGCCCCCTATCAAACTCGCTTAGCGCAAACACAGGTCGTGGGTGGCACCCTTAAAAATGGCTAAAATGGCAAAGTTTATTATGTCCTGCGTATTTTACAACGATAAAAAGTAGCCACGGCATCTACTTTCGTATACATTCTGCGTTGTGCTTGATACGCAGATACACCATTAGCTTTTTTGGATGTTGAAGTGCCATTACTAGTGTCGAGTTTGTGGTATTCTGGGCCAAGTAATTTTTACTTTTTAGATCTCTAAAATTCTGCTGTTCCTAGTATGCCTGTTTGCCAGGCGGGCTGCTGTAGGACGCTGGTTCTATTATGGTTGCAGAAGACGTTCTGAAAGCCCTCAGCCAGGGGCCACGGGAGTGGGGACCTGAGTCCTGCCTGTCGGAGTCCGGGGCCCAGAGCCCTGGATGCCTCTCAACACTCCTGCCTTCATCCAGGCCAGAGGTAAGCCTGGCACGGGGACAGCGACGGGGTTTCCAAACCATGAATCTGGTCTTACTTGCAAATTTAGGTGAAGGGCCCAGGCCCAGGAAGTTTCTGGAATTTTGAGTGTGAGAAGCCCAGGAGCCAAAGATGGGGCAGCCTGCGGGGCCAGGGAGAGGCGGGGGCTGTGGGGAGCCACTGCTGGGAAGGCGGGGTCCCCACAGGTCCCCACAGGCCCCCCCACTGCAGGAGCAAAGGGCCAAGGGGTTCACCATAGCCTGTCACGACCGGGTCCCCAGCTTCTCCAGGAGAGAGGAAGACCTCGAGGGTGTGAGGAAAGCCCAGCATCTCCCCGCTTATCCACCCGGGGGCGCTCCTGTCACCGGTCACCTTCCAGGAGGCACCGAGAGCCCTGGGCTGGCCCTCCGGCCAGTCTGGCCAGAGACCTGGGCAGGGGCGGACCGCACGGCTCCCCTGGCTTCCTACCGCCTGCCCGGGAGCTTGGCAGGAAGACTCAGGAGACGGCCCCACCCTCGCCCCACGCCTGGGCAGGTGCCCTACTCCAGACCCTTATCAATGTGCGCCGTGAAGCGAGGGATAAAATGTGCAGGAATGGAGCCCAGCTCCCAGCCTGCTGTTGGCCGGGCTGCAGTGAAAGCCATGATTTTCTTTCTTTCTTTTTAAAAATTTTTAAAAATCTTTATTTTTGAGAGAGAGAGAGCGAGAGAGCGAGCGAGCATGTGAGCAAGGGAAGGGCAGAGAGAGAGAGGGAGACACAGAATCCGAAGCAGCTCCAGGCTCTGAGCTGTCAGCACAGAGCCCGACGCGGGGCTCGAACCCACAGACTGCGAGATCATGACCTAAGTTGAAGTCGGACGCTTAACCGACTGAGTCACCCAGGCGCCCTGTCTTTCTTTCTTAATAATATTCAGAATTGCAGGAGTAATGCCTGCTCATCATTAAAAAATACAGAAATTAAAAAAAATAAATTAAAAAAATACAGAAATTACAGGCGAGTCAAACTGAGAGACGCACTATCACCACTTTGCTGTGTGGTTGTCACAAAGTTTTCCTGCACATTAATCATAATGATGATGATCATGCAAAATAATGGCAGCTACAATGCATTGAACATTTATTGCTGCCAAATGCCAGACTCAGTGTTTTGCACATTGTATCTCATTTAATCTCGCCAACAATCCTGAAGGATGAGTTACTATTTTTATCCCCATTTTGCAGATGAGAAAGTTGATGTTCAGGGGCTTGGAACTCCATCTTCAAGTTCAGCCAGCCCATAAAAGGAGAAGCCAGGAGCCAAAGCGGGGGTGGGGGGGGGCACTCCTTCCCGGCATCCAGGCTCCTATAGGATCACTCCATGACGCCGTCAACACAAATAGAGCGCTCCTTTTTACGTGAGCTTTTTACCAAACATGTGACAGGGTACATACAGCCTAGGGAACTTTCACCAAGTGAACTCACCATGTCCCCGCTGTATGTGAAGACACAGAGGCCCCCTCGCCGCCCCGGCCCCCCTCCCCAAGGGGATCCTATCATTTGGAAACCTGCTTTTGTCGCTTCAACAGCTCGGCGAGAATAGCTTTCTGCACGGATTGACTGGGACGCCTTCTGTTTGAAAGTCCCACGGCTTGTTCTACCCACAGCCCCCATTGTCAGCGCCTTGGGCGGCTTCCAAATGTCAAAGCCTGATGTTCAAGGCCCTCAATACAGCGTGTGCAGCTGCCCCACGCCGGGCTTGCTGCGCTCTTACCTTTCCTTCAAGCCCTCGGGCTGGTGCAGTGCGCGTTGACCCGGCGACCACGGCTGTGTACCCGGATTTGCACACCCCCCTCTCGGCTGCCTGGAGCTGTTGTCCTGGTCAGGGCTCGGGGAGGGGGTCTGGCTGGGGTGGGGGGGGAGCAGACTTAACAGTCAGGAGCCTGCGTGCCAGGCTCAAGCCTCCGCTTCTCCGAGGAATGGAGAAATAGTGACATCTTGGCCCATAAAACACACATTTCTACCTTTTGCCAGAAAAGCGTAGGAAGCCAGTGGTTCACCTTCTTTGGCAGGGGGAGTATTGGACCGACTGAGATGACCTCCCTGCTCAGCTCACAGAGAAACACGGGCGTGACTGTATACATCTCGGTCCCTGGACCCAGGAGCAGGGCCCCTCAACCCGGCTCAACGGGGGCTGCTGGCCGTCCCTTGTGGGGGCCTCCCGGCCGCTACAGAAGGGTTGGCAGCATCGCTGGCCTCCACCCACAGGATGCTGGTAGCATCCCCTCCTCATCCCCTCCTGTGACAACCAAGAGATGTCACCAGACTTCATCAGAAGACCCATGCTGCCTCCACCCTCCCCTCACCACACTCTCCGATCAGAGCCACTGCCCTAGATGCCAGACTCTCTTTTGTTCAATGCGGGACATATTTTTTTAAATACATTTTTTAAATGTTTATTTTTGAGGGAGAGAGGCGGGTGCAGAGAGAGAGGGAGACACAGACTCCGAAACAGGCTCTGGGCTCTGAGCTGTCAGCACAGAGCCTGATGCGGGGCTCAAACTCACAAACTGTGAGATCATGACCTGAGCCGAAGTCTGATGCTTAGCCGACTGAGACCGCCAGGTGCACTCAATGTGGGACGTATTTGAGGAGCACCTAAGGGTGCTGTAGGCCCTTGGGACTTGGCAAGAACCAGACTCTCTCATTCTCTCGGGGCTTCATGGCCCAGAGAGAAGCAGTCATTTTTTTTTTTTTTTAAGGCCAGAGAGTGAATATTATAGCTTGTGTGGGCCAAGGGGCAAAATTGAGGATAGTATATAGGTTTCTATAAAACCATTTCAAATGTGGGGTGCCTGGGTGGCTTAGTCGGTTGTGCCCGACTTTCGCTTAGGTCATGATCTCACGGTTTGTGGGTTCGAGCCCCGCGTCGGGCTCTGTGCTGACTGCCAGCCCAGAGCCTGGAGCCTATTTCAGAGTCTGTATCTCCCTCTCTCTCTGACCCTCTCCTGCTCACGCTGTCTCTCTCTCTCTCTCTCTCTCTCTCTCCTAGAAATAAATAAAAACATTAAAAAAAAACTTAAAAAAAAAACATTTCAAATGTAACCCTTTAAAAATATCAAAAACATTCCTAGTTCTCAGAGCTGAAAGGAAAAGGGCAAAAAATCAGTCAGGCTGCTGGAAAGCTGTAGTTCGCCAAGCCGGTTTAGAGGAAAAATAACAGCTGACATTCACTCAGTATGTGCTGTGTACAGCACTGACCTGTTCAAGTCTCTCCCAGGGAGAGGAGAGCACATGCAAAGGGCCTGAGGCAAGAAATTCTTGGAGCGGTGGAGGACCAGGTCAGGGATTGGGAGCGGGAATGCCGTTTCCAAAGCAAAGCCAGTAAGACGTGAACTCGGGAAGTATGCATGTGACACAATTAAATTTAACTCCCTACAAAGAAAAAGATTTGGCCCAATGGGTCATACACATTCATGCATTCAAGAGATATGCCAACCCCCCTTGTTTCTCCAGTGTGCCCTTCTGCCTCCCAAGATTCAGGCCAACGAAGGCTGAAGCCTGGCAGGTATGTGGAGACTGGAGAACTTTAGCCCGCAGCTCAGTGTCCCCAGGCCAGGCTGAGGGAAGAGGGTGAGTGGATGTTCCAGACCACAGGACTAAAGCTGTAATCAGGGCACAGCCTCTTTCAAGCTAATGACAAGGGTCCTGTAGACACACACACAGCAGGGCGTTAAAGAGAAGCCTGAAGCAAAGCTCTAAGTTAGCTGAACCCCAAACCGTGTCAGACTCAGCCGAAAAAATGTTAGGAGCTCGGTTTGCAGTTTTCTCTCTCCCTTCCTGCCTCCTTTCCTTCTCTGAGGTCCAGGATGGGTAGGAAAGGAGCTCACACCGTAAGAATTCATAAACACAGTAGCTGAGGCATCCTGAGAACTTCGTCTTCACATGTGCTAAGTGCTTTCTAAAGTCAGAAGAGACTGAAATGGACACAGAGAGATTATTGAATGTGCATTCAGTTAAGGGATTCTATAGGCGCCTGCACTTTCTATTGTTTTCCTTGTTAGTAATGCAGATGATTATGTCCATCGAAATGCAGACAAGTCTTGTCTCCTGGAGCACAATCGATTATTGCCCTATGACTATTGACGGGTTTATTTCAGCATTTTAAAAAATGTTTTATTTATTTCTGAGAGACAGAGAGAGACAGAGAGAGGCAGCGTGAGCAGGGGAGGGGCAGAGAGAGAGGGAGACACAGAATCCGAAGCAGGCTCCAGGCTCTGAGCTGTCAGCACAGAGCCCGACATGAGGCTCGAACCCACGAACTGAGAGATCATGACCTGAGCTGAATTGGACACCCAACCGACTGAGCCACCCAGGCGCCCCTGTTTCAGCATTTCTGATTGCCTATATATTTGTATGTGTTTGAACTGTCCCTTGAACTATGTGTAACATCTTCCTGGTTCCCTTGTTAACCAAGGAGTTAAATACAGTCTTTGATACGTTTCTATTTTAGATCTCCAGGAGTCCTGATTTCATCTTTTAAAAATGTATCTTTTAACAAAGACATGCATAGTGTTTTTATTTACAACCCTGGGAGGTGGTTCTCATTGCCATCATTCTCGTTGTACAGAAGAGGGAAACTGAAGCCCAGGGTGCCATGAAATCTGCCCAAGGCCATTCACAGGAACTGTTGGAGTCAAGCTTTGCACGCAGGCAGTGGGACCCAGAGCTGGGGCGCTTTGCCACTGTCGCGTGTCGTTCTTATAGTGTGACAGGCTGGCCCCGACCGTGCTCTCGGCTTTCAGTTTGCTGCCCAAGACACGGGCCCCTGGGGACTGTCCAGAGCTCAACGCCTCTGTAGCTGTGGCCGACGTGGCAGCCGTGGCTGACGTGGCCAGGCGCCCTGGGGACTCCCAGAGCAGGCACAGGGCCGTCTTCTGTCCCTCTCTGGCACCCAGCACTCAGCTATGAGCAGTGTGGGCAACGGGCGATTGTTACCCAGCGGTGTTAAGAAACCTACT